TCATAGTCGTATATAGATTTTGCAATAGTGTTTTTTTTATAAATGATCGATATTACACAAACATCATACTACAGAAGATAACGAATTCTGGTTACGAACCAACACATAACTTTGTGATTGCAACTGGTCTATATCTGTGTTTACAATAAACATTGCTACAATGTGTAAACCCTGGTACCCTGCTGAATACATTACCATAGTTATGATAAGAGGTTTCATCGCTCAGAGTTCGATATTGAATCGTTATTAGAATTTTGTTTATTCAATCGTTAATCGGACGGATTAAGAATACGGAGTGTCACCACCCCAATTCATCCCGTAGGTGTCGTAAGAGCTGACTAAGGCACCAAACTACGCCGGACAACAGCACTGCAAAAGAGTAGGAAAAACTTGACACAAACCCTAACCCGTCTGGCCAGCGTGGTATAGTAGGTCCAAACCAATTTCTAAGAAAAGGCCTATGCCCAGCAATGGACTATTAAAGGCTGTTGATGTGATATGATGAATCGCTAATCGTCATTGCTGTCTATCAACAGTATATAATTATTTGCATTGATAAAACTTAGTTTGCCATTAGCTACTTAACATTTTTTCCTTTCACTTTCTTAAAAAGCTTCACCTATTTATAATTATGTGTGTGTGTATGTTAGTTTTCGGGGTAAAAATTTACCTATGTTACTCACTGATAATGTGGCTTTACATTAGTGAAAGAAGTTTTTAAATCGGTTTAGGCGTGAAAGCGTAATAAACAAAGTTACTTTCACATTTATAATACAAGTATGGAAGTACGGATTGATCGGTACACATACACTATTAATTTATTTCATAGCTAGTAAATCTTTCGTTTTTCAATTACGCGCTTCAAGGGCAGGTCTAATTTGCCGCGAAAATCGTTTTCTCAAGAAAATTGGATGTCTTTGAAAGCAACTAACTCAATGAATCAGTCAACCCAATGATTGTCTATGGCAGGAGTTCTCTAAGTATGGGTCGCGACCGACTGGTGGGTCGCGAGCGAATATTGAGTGGGCCCTGTAACATAAGGTAACCTGACCGATAGGGCTCACAGCTGGACGGCCACTGAGGGGATCTGGGGAAAACCTGAGTCGGATATCTTTTGTTTTTGTGATGTTTTATTCGTTAGTGTGCGCCCTTATAATATTTAAAATCAATATTTAACAACCAAAGTTTGAAGATAATAATGAAAAAGTGGTTGAAACGAATAGCAAAAACTACGTAGCCGCCGACGGTTGATTGTGAACAAAGTAATAAAAAGACTGAAGATGTTTTTATAATTGACGGAAGTGACACTGAAACTGACTTCCAGCACCCTCAACGAGTTCACAAGAATTGAAACGATGGAAAGTTGTAAGAAAACATGATCCTAAATATCTGAAACTTGGATTTACTTGGAATCATGACACGATAGATCCGCATCCTCAATGCGTGATTTGTTACGAAATATTAGCAAACGAAAGTATGCGCCCAAGTACGAGTAAGTTGACGCGTTATAAAGAAACGAAGCATTTCCAGTCTGCGAAAAAGCCAGTAGATTTTTTTCAAAGAAAATTGTTGGACATGAAATCGTCAAAAAATATTGTTTAACATTTCATTCATATAAATGAAAATGCTTCGTATGCCTCGTACCTCATTAGCTTATGATAACCAGAGCTGGAAGCCTCACACCATTGAGGCAGAGTTAGTGTTACCATCGACTAAAGATGCTGTTGGAGAAAAAAGGTAAAGGAAATCAAGCGCATGCCACTGTCCAATAAAACTGTTGCACGGCGAATCGACAAAATGGCTGAAAGGGCAGAAGACGAATGAATTCGGATTGTAGTTGGTAGTAAATATTATACGTTACAACTATACGATTCTACTGACAAGCATGGCCTATTCCACTTGTTTTTGTACAATATATATAGATGGCAAAACGCCGCGCATAAAGATATCTTGTTCTGCAGGCCAATTAGTCGTGGAACGGCGGAGGAAATTTGCAATACAATTAATTCCTAAATAAAAGAGAAATGTTTACAGTGGAAGAACTGTGTTACAGTGTGTGTTACAGTTGCACATTGCGACTAAAAGTAACTAGGGTTAAAATCGATGATAAAGCTGTAATGATATGCAAAAGAAAACAAGTATTAAAAACATCTGTTCTAAATTAATGTTGTTTTTCTTATTTTAACAGCCCTTCATCCATATTGGTGATTCATAAACTTCCATTGTTTATGAGCTAACTAAAGTTACTAAATTACAGTATATATGTTGTCTGTAATTATATCATATTAATGTCTAGTAAAAAAAATATGTAAGTACCAATAATTTATGCCCCTTTTTAAGACGGTCAAAAGGTGGGTCCCGAATTTGGCAGTTTTTGTTAGGTGGTTCAGATCCCAATCAAGTTTGGGAACCACTGGTCTATGGAATAGATATAGACGGGTCACCGGATGCTAAGTGGGTGCCGTCGCCCATAAACAACTGCAACTCTAGAGTTAAAACTGAGAGAGCTTTCGAGTTTCCCCACTAGGATTAGAAGGAGGGGGAGGGAGTTTGGTTTTCATCAACTTTGGGAACTTTGGGAGTAGGACCGTTTTTGGGAGTCATCAACAGTCTTTAATAGTCACATAGGCCTCTTCGTAGAAAGGAGTTTTCTGCCTACTTCACCATTCTGGCCGGAAGTAACAGTTTGCTATTGTTGATCAAGGTCGTCCGTGTGGTGACGGATTAAAAATACAGAGTGTCACCACCCCTATTCATCCCGTGGGTGTCGTAAGAGGCGAATTAGGTGAGCGAAATACGCAGGACAACAGCACTGCAGAGAGAAGGAAAACTATACACAAACCCTATACCAACCCGCCTGGCCAGCGTGATATAGTAGGCCAAAACCTCCTTTCTAAGGAGAGGCCTATGTCCAGCAGTGGACTATTAAAGACTGTTGATGATGTGTGTCATAGAGACTTGTATTTTCTTTTTTTTTATTTCACCAACATGTTTTGCAAATAAGTTTAGTTCTTTTTTGTCTCTATTTTCAGCTTTTCCTATAATATCAATTTCATATAAGTCACCGAGATAGTTGCCTCCTTCGGTATTGATATGTCGTTTATGTACTTCACAGTCGACTAATCCTTCTTTTTCAATTATCCTCTTGATGACTGGATCAAGTTTTTGTGGAAAGTCGTCTTTTGATTTTTCCATTCTTAGATACTATTTATTCGATGGCTGTGACATTAAATGTCACCGATCTCCTATAAAAAATAGTATACGGACTTTTATTCAGAGGGTCAAATCCTTAGAACAAAAGCACTCTCTGAACGACTTGAACAAAATGTGTGTACTCGTAGACGCGCGTCCAACATCTTTTATCAAAACATGGCCTCTAACATTTAATGTATTTATATAAGGAGAGGCCAAAACCTTCTTTCTAAGGCCTATGTCCAGCAGTGGACTATCATACGTTGTTGATGTGATGTACGTGATTTATGGAGATACGTTTGTTGTTTTATCAATCGATTGTAATACTTCTAATGTTTTATTGTTGTAATATAATTATCGTATCTTTATTATTACTACTGTGGAAGAAGGAGTGTCATGTCCCTCCAACGCAAAGGGAGGATCCTCCTACCAGGCGAGGTGATCATGCCTGGTAGAAGTATCCGCGGCCTAACGGTTGATGTTGGGAAGTTGCATACCGCGATACAGGATTAGCAATTCAGTTACTAAGGATTAGCAAGGAGTTACTTCGTAGTTCGGTGTGTCTTCGTTAGATGGCGCTGTAATATGTTGCTGTTTTCTTTGTATGTGGAAGTCGCCACACTACTATATGTTCAATATGTGAGGACAACTCTTTGTTGTGCACGGATGAAAATTAATCACCAGTATTTTATATTTCTATGTATAGAGTTTAATAAAACTATCGTTTTTATGTGACTCATATAAATTGAAACAAATACTGTTATCCTACAGTTATTTAGATAAATTATAATTATATTACAAAGGATTTGCCGTGATATATATACAAATATATGTGTTAAGAATTTGATTAATCTTATAAGGTAAATGCTAACTAGATCCAATGATCAAAATAAATTTCAGTCAGTAAGAATCAATACTTCCATACCAAAATTATAAATGTAAAAGTGAATTTGTTTGTTTGTTAACCCTTTCACGCCTAAAAGACTAAACCGATTTAAAAAAAATTTCACCAATAGAAAACTAGATTCATATCAGCAAGAAATACAGGCTACTTTTAAATGCGATAACCGATAATGCTATCTGACAGTTAACATCCTCTGTCTATATATCAGTCGTTAAAGGGTGACAGATAAGAAATAGCTCGTCATATACATATATGTTGTTTTCTTGAAAATAAAAATCACTAATAGTACAAAATAAATTTTATATCGCAATGATAATATAGCGATTGTAGATAAGAGTAACCGAACAAGTCATGATTTTACATGTAAGTGGACATGTTGTTTTGTTAATAGCAATAATTTAAATTTTCAAGTATCGTGTTTAACTCACGCCTATTGAAAAAGCGATATTAATGTGATAAGGGTTGCCATGCATAAAAAGGTCTGTGAGTTTGGTTTGACAATAGGAAAAACCCTGGGTATTTGGTATTCCCAAATATTATTATCAATATAATCCATATGATTGTATTTATCTATAATTTGTCAGCTCACACTATCTCTCTATCTTCATGATGGTGGTATTGTCGAATAAGTTCTCATGTAACGTTCGGTAATCTCCGGAGCTGTTCGGCTGAGACGACAAGATTACACAAGGAATTAACAACATTCGTTCGTAGTTCACGCCACGCGTCGGTTTGTGTTACTCGTTTGTGTTCCTCCATATTGTTTATAACTGTGTCGTTATTGAGTTGTTATTGGTAGTTTAATGTTAAATGTTAACATTTTATATTATTGAGTGAAGTTAGTAGTTTAGTTTTAAGATAACTTCGGTTAGTACATTTTTAATCGTTAAAAGTTGATGAAACTATGGCGGCAAAACAGCTAATACATGACTATCAACTGCCTAAGAATTTAGAAGATTCGGTAGAAAGTATAGCTAAAAATCAAGGTTTTAGAAACTACGAGAAGTGTGTCAAAAAATTGTCAACAGATGGCGGTAGCTACATGGGCATATTGTATGAAATTGATTTAAAAGGAAAAGTTGGTGATGAAAACAAAGAAATTAATATATTTGTTAAAAATATTGTTCAAAATGCCAATATATCTATATATTCGGTACCAGGTGTATTTGAAACAGAAGCTTGGGTTTATAAAGACCTTAGTACAATATTTAAATTACTACAAGATGAGGAAAACATTCCTTTCAACGAAAGATTCAAAATGCCCTACAGTTTTCAGGAATGTAATCCAAAATCTATTATTCTTGAACATTTGGGTAAAAAAGGGTTCAAATTATATAATAGAATGGAAATTGTACCCTTACAATATGCTGAAAGATGTACGGAAGAGCTTGCCAAGTTCCATGCTTTGTCATTCGTGATACAAGAAAAACGGCCAGAATATTTTAAAAACCATGTACTAACTAAGAAACAGCCGTATAATTTTGGAGAAGAGTGGTACGCATTTGTTGAAAATATAGCAACTTATTCAATTAACTGTTTGACGCCAGAAGTCAAAGAGAAGGTGAAGAAAAAGTTATTGCAAAAAGCCGCCAATTACCCTAAATATATGACAGATACTTCTACTGTTCGCACCTTATGTCACGGAGATTATAAACTGAATAATATTATGGCCAAAGAAGTTGTAAGTATTATCTTTTGTGTTGGTGTAGGTTTAATTTTTCCTTAAAGGCTGGCAACGCGCTTGTGACTCCTGAGTTGTGGGCGTTCATGGGCGGCGGTAGTCGCTTTCCGTCAGGTGACCCGTCTGCTCGTTTGTCCCCCTATTCCATAAAAAAAAGAAAAAGATTGGTCAAGGAAAAACATTTTCTCAATACTATACAGAAATCTCAAATATCGAAACTTAAAGAACCTAATGAAGTACCTTTAAGTTAAAATAATTATTTAGCAATATAACTGCCGTAGATAACTTTTCACTGTCCCAGGTAGTAGAACATTTTAGTTCTTTTATGATCAGAATTTAGTAAGGTTTTTTATTGTTTTAGAATGGGGAAGTTGTTGAAGTTGTGACGATTGATTACCAGATTCTTCACTACGGATGTCCAGTCTTGGATTTCATTTATTTTATTTTCCATGGAACAGACCAAGAGTTTAGAAGAGAACATATGATAAATCTCAAGAACCTGTACTTTAGAAGTATGAAAGCATTTCTTGAGAAATTTGAAATGGATATTGACAAGTTATATTCAATCACTGATTTTGAAAAGGATTTTAGAGAAAAATTAGATTTTGGTCTCATGGTTAATATATTCTATGCTCCATTTCTGTTCGCTCTTGAAGAAGAAGCGCCTGATGTGACTACAGAAGACTTGTCGAGTCTGAAATTTAAGGTTGATGACAAATTCACTGAACGATTCCGTGGTGTTGTCGATGATTTTATACAGTGGGGCTATGTTTGAACAAAAAAGGCAAAATGCTTAATCAAAAGTTTTCTTATGTGTAAAAGTTAAAATGTGTATAAAATTTGTAGAAATTAAACTGCTTTTTGTAAGTTCTGTCTTTTCTTAAATCTAGTTAAAATAGCTTTTAGTTGAGTTGTATGGTTTGAAATTCTGTTGCATTGCACTGTATTTGCACTCATGTATTTATTCTTAATGCACAATTGTTGAAAAGGTGGACTTTATGCCTTAGGCATTTTCTCTCTCTACCAGTTAACCTTAGGGCGGTCCCCACGCCGCTTTCTACTGTGCCTAGTGTTGTGGGTTCAAACCCCACATGGGACGATACTTTGGGTGATCCACAAATTGTTGTTCTGAGTCTGGGTGTTCTTTGTGTCAGTTTCATGTGTGTTTGTAAAGTCCCCCGCGACACAGGAATGTATTCCTAATGCGGGAGCGGTGTAAAAAAGATGGACAGCCAAACATTGTAGATACACAGAAATTAAAAATTTAATTTTTAAAAATATAGCATAATATGTAGAATATTATATACTTAAAAGTAGTTATATAAATTACATTAGAATGATTTCTGGTCACAAATACAAATACAATAAGTATAATTTTTAAACATTTATACATATACAATATACATTGATACATATACATATATATATACATGTAATGAAAATTATAGAATGGTAAAGTGGAAAATTAATTAAGGTAGATTTGATAATGTGTTTAAGAAATGTTTCCGCCACAGGTATTTAAAAGTTTGTAGAATTTTTACCATCCTGATCTCGAGAGGGAGCGTTTTCCATAACAGGACAGATTGTTTCAAGAAAGTAGAATGTTTGAGGGCAGAGCGGTGAGTGGGAGAGTGAAGAAGCGGGTTGTTTAACGATCGAAGATTTTCAGCGTGGTGGCACTCATATCAGAGGGCCGACATATCAAAGAATCGACGGGAATGTTGGTCTAGTGGCTAGTGACCCGGACTGCTAAATCGGAGATCGTGGGTTATTCCCACTCAGAACAAATATAGTGTGATGAGCACGGTCATTTGTTCTGTATCTGGGTGTAATTCATCTATAATATGTATCTATTTAAAAATATATAAGTATGTTTATCAGCAGCCTGGTTACTATAGTACAGGCTCTGCCTAGTTTGAGATCAGACGGCCGTGTGTGAGATGTGTGAGATATATTATTATATTATTATTATCACACAAATCAATGCATTGCTCTTATTATTTGTTCAGGATACTTTGATACTGAAAATATTCAGTCTGTTCAAATTAAAATATCTTTGTTTCATAATTATTATTTTTTGAAATCGTCTTTTATGTAGACTCTAAACTCATAGTTCACACACAATAGCAACAATCTTCATTTTGTCAAATAGTTAGCAATTTTTTTTTTTAAATTACACTATCTCCGATCTAAGGGGTTGAGCCTTATGAGAAGAAAGGGTAAACAAACTCATGGCAACTTTTTACAATTTACAGATAGATACAATGGCATTATTAAATATACCACAACTTTGTGTTGACGTGTTTTTAGGTTAACGAAAATATATGTCATTGGAGAGCCATTTTTCAGCACGTATTTACTGGCTTAAGTAATACCATGACCTCGAATAAAAAAGTGTTAAGCGATCATTTCATTGATTTTTACTGATCGGGTGGCCATATTAATTGAAGAGTCTGCACCTCACTAGTGGGTCTTCAGTTGCAGGTAACCTCAGCAGCGGTAGTCACTTACCATATTTTCACATTTACAACTGCTCAAATTATTTTGTAATTAATGGCGTTTCGGGTTCCAAGACAGTTAATATTTATCTGGAATCCGAGTGTCATTACCCGGTGTGTTCACGGTCATACTGCTGTTGATCTTGATAAGTCTAGACTTGTTAATTCGCACTTCTAGGTGCACTTAAGGATCAAAATCAAACACAAGCGTAACGTTGAAAGAGTAATTCCAAGGAAGATTGGCGGTAGCGTAATAATCGAACTATATAAAAAATAATTACAACTACCGTCATATTATACATACATCACAGATCGTTGTGTACAGGAGTAACTGCTGTGGGCGTTTCGGAGGGATTTTATAAATACGACGGGACGTCTATATCTATGATATTTATTGTACCTATATATTCTTAAGTAAAATGATCGTTTGCAATACAGACACTAGTTTTAACATGTCACAAATATCTCCATTCTATAAAATCTTCTACGAGTTCAATCATCCTGACCCGAACCTTTTCGCTCTTTTAATTTAAATTGATTTCTGCTATTGCCCCCTTGTTAATATTAGGGATTTCTTCTTTTTTGCACATAAAGACCGGCAGCGCATTAACAGCTATGATCAATCCGTAGTCCAAATTTTCTGTCAAGTGTCTTTTTTTAATTCTTTTTAACTACATCGACATCAAAATGTGCCAAGAATGTTCTCATCAGCATCATCAGCCTATCGCAGTCCACTGCTGGACATAGGCCTCTCCCATTGCACGCCACTTAGATCGATTTTGGGCTTCTCGCATCCAGAATGTTCTCAAGGTCTCGTAAATCGTACAAATATGGAAGATTAGACTTCCTAAATCTTCGATCTGTAGCAATAAAGATCAAGTATCCAGAAAGGTCCAGTACCGGACGTGCAACCAAAATATTTCTCATACTAAATACTTTAATTAACCCCCAACTAAAAAATTTAGTTTGATGCAAAAAAATTACGCAGTTATTAATCAATATTCTTGCCAAGCGCCAAGAATATTGATTAATAAATTATCTTAAGATAGTTAAGGTTCTAAGGCTAAAAATATTAGAGTTAATTTTAAATATGAATTTACGTATCCTTCATTCTTGTTTCTTGAACTTCAGAGTATTAAAATTGTTCATGGTCTATTTCAAGTTCTTAAATTGAAATGCGTTCCTTCTGTCATGTTTGGTTCCATAACAATGCAATTACGAAAAAAATATCTGAACCATAACACTGCAGGCTACTTATAACTTTACGTATGTATTATAAGTATATTTATGTAGTAGAGATAGGATCAAAATAGGGAATGAATAAAATTACTGTTGTCAAATCATTTAGGCAAGGCATTCTTAGGATGATATTTTTTTATTTTCTATTTTATCAATGCTCTTAACTTAATCAAATGTTGACGTAACTCTTCTGTTTGCGAATAATCTTCACGAAACATATTTTATGATAGATACATAGGTCGTTTATGAGAATTATGTAAGCAAAAAGCAAGCAATTTTACTGATAAATGTTTTTTACTTTCCGTATATAAGAACATTCTTCTTTATTTTACTTTATCATTGTTTATAAATTTTGTCCTTTTTAACCTTGCAGGGTTATATATTTTTTCACTGCGTCGGTTTGTTCAAATACACTTAATAGTACTGGTATTAATAATCTCATACAAGGTCGTCTGATCCTAAACTATGCAGAGCCTACATACTATGGTAACCACACTGCTAGTAAACTTATTTACCTATTTATTTTTATTTTATTCTTATTCTTTATGTACAAGTATTAGTTGTACAGTGGCGGACTTAACGCCACAGGCATTTTCTCCCAGTCTACCGTAGGGTAGTTCTGACTAGACTCTGTAGGGTAGTGTAACTAGATGCACTAGTTAATGACAGTAAAGTAAAAGAAAATTATTAATAAGTTAGACAGAAACAAAGCGATAAATATACATACATACATACGTACCAAATACATACAGATACATAAATACTTACCTCCTTACATATATACATAAACCTACATATTATTAACTAGCTGACCCGCGCAACTTCGTCTGCGTCTCTGAATAGTAATAAATTTTCTCCGTTTTTGAAACATTCTTCATTTGTGCTCCGCTCCTATTGGTATAAGCGTGATGATATATAAATGGGCTTCCTCGATAAATGGGCTATCTAACACTGAAATAATTTTCAAATCGGACCAGTAGTTCCTGAGATTAGCGCGTTCAAACAAACAAACAAACAAACTCTTCAGCTTTATAATATTAGTATAGATGTATAAAACTTTAAGGTTGTAATGAATCTGCTAGTGTGTCTAGAATGCGAGCTCGAACTTCCATCTTGAACGAGAGGCGGCTGGGTGCTATCATATTTATAAATGCATATCATGTAAAAACATTAAATTGGTTTGCGTATGATTCAAAAACTCAAAAACTACTCAACCGTTTGCCATTACCTATATTCTCGCCGATCTATGCGATTGTGCTTACGAGTATCATACAATTATTTGTCCTGGGTGGGAATCGAAATCACGACCTTTGGCTTAGCAGTAAGGCTCATTTCAGACGACCGAATGGCGTAGTGGTTTGTGTAACGGACTGCTATTCCAAAGATCGCGGGTTCGATTCCCGCTCAAGTCAAACATTTGTGTGCATTAACTTTTAATGTTTGATTTGGTCTAGGCGTTTCTATTTATAATACTCGTATGTATGTATTTACAAAAAAAAACTATATATGTATTTTTATCAGTTGTCTAGTACCCATAGTACAAGCTTTGCTTAGTTTGGGACTAGATGGCGTTGTGTCAAAGGAGTAGAATTTAATTATTATTATTATTATTTTCCACTAGGCCAACATATCGTCAAAATTAAAAGAGATTAAATAGCTTTTTGAATACACCTTTGACAGAATATATAAATACTATTGAGCATAGATATACGAATAATAATAATAACCTCACACATCCCACACACGGCCGTCTGATCCCAAGCTAGGCAGAGCCTGACTATGGTAAACAGACTGCTGTTAAACATACTTATATATTTCTAAATACATACATATTATGGATAAATTACACCCAGACACAGAACAAACGATCGTGATCATCACACAAATATTTGTTTTGCGAACTACATATGTGACTGAGTTATCTGTATCTATGGTGACGACGAGTAGTCGTTAAAAAATAATAATACTATATACAATATAGCTTTTCTGCTTCATTATATAGATATATACTCCTATACATATACATATATATATATATATACATATATGTATATATATACATATATATATATAAAAGTGGCAGAGAGCGAAGAGGTTTAATACAATGGTTCTTTCAAAATATTCGCCCTTAACATTAAACCACGCAAATACTAGTCATTTATAAAAATCTTTTCCCTTTTTACAAATAATATAATTGATGATAAGCAGATTTCACCTTTATCTCAAAGTGTATAGAGATCACGCCAAGAATAATTTGTTACCTGCTTTTTTGAGCCTCGAAATTTTTGTGTGCCGGGAATAAAAACATGTTTGTGATAACAATATAGATTGATGGTATTGTTATCGCTAAGTATGAAAATTAAAGTGGAGGCTGAATTGAATTATTAATCAATATGTCAGATTATGGCACTTGAGCAACAGAAGTTATTGGGTTTTAATTGGTACTCGATTCGATTTCTTGGTGAGGCTTTGTAATGGTAAAACAGACTTTGGGTCTGATGTCGAAGTTATAAGTGGTTAAGTGACTTTGGCAGGGTAATTTCTAGGATAGGTGATCGGTGATTAAGTGTTGAATGTGTCTTTAGACGATTGAAATCTAAAAGTAATACGAATTAATGGTTATTATTTTTAATTACTTATTGACTGGCATATTGGTCGTGTTTATTGACCCTGACTGCTAAGCCGGAGGTCGTGGGTTCAATTCCCACCCAGGACAAATATTGTGTGTTGAGCACGATCATTTGTTCTATGTCAGGGTGTAATTTATCTATAATATGTATGTATTTAGAAATATATATGTATATTTATCAGCAGTCTGGTTACCACAGCACAGGCTCTGCCTAGTTTGGGATTAGACTGCCGTGTGTGAGATCTGTGAAGTTATTATCAATCCTAATGTCATTAGTATTGACATTAGTAGCATTATAAATGCGAAAGTGTGTCTATCTGTCTGTCCGTCTGTTACCTCTTCACGCTTAATCCGCTTAACGGATTCAGATAAAATTTAGTGTTGAGACAGTTTGAGCCGCGGGAAAGAACATAGGATAGATTTTAGACCGGCAATCATACTTTAAGGGGGTGAAAATGGTTGTGAAAGTTTGTATGGGGAATCAATAACCGCTGAAGCGATTTAAATGAAATTTGTTAAAGACATAGTTAGATTCTTGAGGAAGGACGTTGGTGATAACCGCCATAGGGGGGTGGAGTCGCGGGCCAAAGATAGTAATATTAAGATATTATTATTAGAAATTCGTTATTAGAAACAAATTTGTTAAATTAAGATTTAACGAACTTGTTTTTAATACCGACAGTATGAACATGATACATGTAAATATGTATATTTTTAAAACACCGGTTGTTATACATAAAAAAATATAACTTAATAGATCCCACAGTATCTAATTATCATCAAAAAATATCTCATAGAGATAAAACAAAAACAAATTTGAAGTAATTTTTAAATGATTCTTTTTCTTTTACAGGTAACCTAAAACAAAATGGACAAGACAAAGACAGTACAGATACCCATCCGGCAGTTACCATAACATGTCATCAAACAATCAAGTGATGTCTAAATACAAAAAACAGATCCAATGGCAGACGATAAAGAAAAACATAAAAAAAGCAACCAAATTCAAAATGAACGGATACACAATAAACACCTTGATGATTATAGTGATTTTAGCATCGTTGCCTTATAGCTCAACGCTAAGTTTGCCTAGCGGGGATCCTGCACCGGGAAGGTCACCTGGGCCACCCACTATTGAAGAAAAAGAAACAACTGATGATAAAATAGCACCCATATATGATGAGACAACCACTAGTGAAGACGTGATAGAAGTTACAACAGTGAGTGAAGTGGGAGTGAGTGATAAAACTGTGGATGTCAGTGATGCTTGTGCCTTCGCGCGAATCCCGAGCGATAGTGATGAGATTGTTACTGTTGGTGATGAAGACAGTGATGTGAATTTGACGCTTAGCCATCCGGTGTTCGAGACCGATGAGTTGGTGCGAGGAGTTGTGTACGATGGTGAGTAATAGTTATTATAATATTCTTTGCAGGTTCTCTGATGATGTAGATAATAATGTTTTTTTTATGAATTTAGAGAGTTATAATAAACCGATATAATATTCTGTCCTTCTTAGCAAATTATGAGACAAAAGAAGAAAAGAAAACAGTTATGAAAGAGATCAAAATATATATAATTCATTACACTTGGCCCAAACTGCTGACAATTTTTAATAATAATTATAATTAATAATTTACCATATTCACACATCATCCAGTCCCAAACTAAGCAGAGCTTGTACTATGGGTACTAGACGACTGATGTAAATACATTTATACTTTTTTTTGTTAATACATACATATTATATATAGAAATACCCAGACCGAATAAAACATTAAATGTTTATGCACACAAATGTTTGACTTGAAAGGAAATCGAACCTGCGACCTTTAGAATAGCAGTCCGTTAAACAAACCACTACGCCATCCGGTCATCCAGTCGAAATCTGCGAGGTCTTTTTAATGCGCATGTTCCATTCAATCATCATCATCATCAACAGCCTTTAATAGTCCACTGCTGGACATAGGCCTCTCCTTACAAAGGAGGTTTTGGTATAGGGCTTGTGTCAAGTTTTCCTTCTTTTTGCAGTGCTGGTTTCCTGCTTTGTTTTGCGCCCTTAGTCGGCTCTTACGACACTCACGGGATGAATTGGGGTAGTGACATTCCGTATTGTTAATCCGTCACTACACGGACAGTTCCATTTAATAAAACATTTAAAATAAACTAATGATTCGTATAATCAAAATACTTCTTTCACATGCTAAAAACTGGGCACTAAATTTGAACTTTGATAAAGGCCAGGCCAGGTAGAGTGACGATTTGCGCAAGACTGCTGGCAGGAGTTAGATGCGAGAAGCCCAAAATCGATGTAAGTCGCGTGCAATTCGAGAGGTCTATGTCCAGTGGTCTGCGATAGGCTGATGATGATGAGACGCGGTTGTCTAACATTATCGTAATCTATGTCAATTTTATAATCTACGTACACATTACTCGCATAAATTACCTCTAGAATAAGCGGGTTTGTGAATTCAAGCATTCGAGGACCCTATTTGATGTTAAATTCAAGATTATTAACTACCTAAGCTATAGGTTTACTGGTTGTTCTTGAATCAATTTAGTCTGTCAACAATTCACATCATATCATTGGTCGATTAAAATGAATACTGTTTGACGTATACCATTCTGTGTGCAACAATTTTTCTTAAGCTGTAGAATAATAAATTATTGTACTTTTGAGTTTGTTGTTGTAATTCGGAACGTTGTATCCTTATTTCCATACTAATATTGTAAAGCTGACGAGTTAATGTCAGGTTAGAATTGAAACATCTTTTGTATTGGATAGTACATCTATTGAGGATGTGTATAGGCTATCATCACCAAACAACCAATAGAAGTTGAGGTTAAATAAAAATATTGGCAAAAACGCGGCAAATTTATTCCTTTTAATAGCCACAGACGAAGTTGCGCAGGTCAGCCAGTTTGAAATACATGTATATTTTTAGAAGCCAGCTTTTGGAATATTTGTGAGAATAAAATAAACCAAAACCAGCGTGTTTTTAGAAGCTATAAAAATCTCTGTTTTTCTATATTTATTGGTCTAAAGAACATAGAATCCGTCGCTTTGGAATTCACATTTGAATATTATGCTGTGGCTTATCCGAGTAGGCATCCTTATATAGATATAGCTCACATATTAAATTGCAAATATTTGAAATCAATTATCACTGTTATTACTTGAAAACTCACATTAATGGTTACAATTTCATGATTCGGCATTGCCATTTCAATTATAGTATATCTGCATCTGTATTTTTCTTCCATCATGTTCGTAGCAACTGTTACATGTTTTTGTTAAGTTTTCCTTCTAAATTAGAATAATATTCTAAAATAAAAAAAGTAATATATTGTATCTGTTACAATTATATATTTTTGGAGCTAACGTAAGGGATGTTCCAAGTCGGGGGCTGAATACATGCCTTGGAAGACAGTGGGTCGAAGAGGCAGTGGTCGCATATCTGTATGCGTGTCCAGAAAGTGGAGAGCACAGTAAGATTAAAGCACTGTCAGAGTTTGGTTTATAAAAATATTTTATGGTGCCAAAAAATATTTCTTCTTATAGATTCAGATAGACTCATAAAGTTTTTATGGTGGTTGTGCACACTTGGGCAGGTTCGACCACACAGCCTTACCTAAAACCGGTGTTAAGCTTGTGGCAAAATGGTAACCAAGAACGTTAACACATTGCAAAGTTAAGCAATCTTATTCAGTCCATAGATGAGTGACCATTTCTTACCATGTGGAGACTCTTCCGTACCTCTGAGAGCACATTAAGCCCATACCCGGTCACCGGCCACACATATATAGCCGGTTGCCATACGAACATCTGTGGCAATCGCTACGGGTACCTATTTGGACCCTAAAAAGTAAGAGAACGGTCTTTCTACAGAACTTCTAAATCGTTTAGTGTGTCCTATAATGAAATATCGTGAACGAGCCATCAGCGGAACACTATCTTTCAAGTTACAGGAATACCTAGTTTGGAAGGCAAGGTCTACTTTTTACACCTATTTTTTTTATGTTAGAGGGGGCAGACGAGCAGACGGAACCTGATGGAAAGTGACCATCGTCGCCCATGAACGTCGGCAACTCAGGAGTCACAAACACGTTGCCGGCCTTTTAGGAAGGAGTACGCTCTTTTCTTGAAGGTTTGAAGGTCGTATCGGTCCGGAAATATAAATATAAATATGGTTATAAGTGTTTATTGGATTGTATAATTGTAACAAAGGAATTGAAGTTCATTATCCTACAACATGGCTCCCACAAGCTGTTACTAGCCCTACGGGAAAAGCTATACAACTAATTAATGAATTTTTACAAAATAATGTACATGCAGACATATTTTTTGTCAGTTTACCTAAATTAATGCAAAATGTAATGATCTTTTCTTTCTTTCTAATCAAAGTCCTGAGTCAACACGATAAAAAGATATGAGCAAATTTCGATTTTCGCGAAAACCAAAATTTATCTTAATTTTCAACTTTTTTAATTTTTCAGAATTTTCTCTTTAATTGTGCTGTAAGACCTTGCTTTTTACTAAAATTGACAATTCTAGGTCAACCGGAAGTCTTGGGTCGAAAACCCATATGGTAGTTTTCGTTGACCTAGAATCATAGGCAAAAAGAAACGTCTTACAGCACAAATAAAGGAATAATACCAAAAAATAAAAAAGGTGAAAATTAAGATAAATTTTGGTACTTACAAATTTTCGCGAAAATCAACCTAAGATCTGGTTAGGTACGGAACCCTCGGCGCACGTGTTCGACTCGTACCTGACCGGTTTTTTTAAACCGGCTCGCAACCATAAATTGTATGCAAAAACTTGCTAATAAACTATTTTATGACATGTCAAGGTTGCGTTCGAAGACAAATATTGCAATTTATCTGTTTAAGTCTGTCGATTGGTAAACCCTATATAAACTAATGCAACAGTCGATTTTTAGAGGTCCACAGTCCTAAAAAGGAAGCCTTATAGTTTTACCGTACCGGTTCGTCTGTCTGTCTGCCTGTTTGTACGCAGCTGAGACTGAACACTGTTATTACTAAAAAGCTGTATTTTTTTGTATGTTTTTTAAATAAAATATTGGTAAAAACGTTTTTAGGAAACCACTTACACCTGTAAAATGTATTTTTTTTGTGTCTCTGTGTCCTTTAGTGTGGAGTATAAATAGGCACGCCTTTTTTAAATATTAAGTTCAGTTTAACGCAATAGTGAAGTTCGAAGAGCTGTCGTTAGAGTCAAGCGCTAAAAAGCAGCAAAAACTATAATGATTTTAGTGGATTTTGGATGCATAATTATTAAACTAAATTAGCTCCGTTAGTCACCCAACTTATTAAATTTACCTCTTTTTGCAAAATTTCAAAACCATTTAAAATACCTAGGTGGAGATGCTATTAGTTTTAACTAGTATCTGATATATTGTGTACTTCGTAATTGGCGTAATGTTGCCTCTGTGAATTTGTAAATGACCTAAATAAAAAAATAGACTACGGAACCGTACACAGCGGCTGCGACACCCGTTAGGCAGGTTACTAAAAGAGTAATTAATGTTTTTTCTTCGACTTAGCAAAGCCATAACAAAAAGGCTTTCAGTGTATCAACATTTAGAACAAATTCGAATTTTTCCTTAGAGAATCGCTTTTTAAAAACAAAAGAAACGTGTTTAAATTTTCATAAGCTTCTTAAAAAATAAAACTTATGATCTTCTATTTTTCTTTGTACTCTTCAAGTCTTGGCTCTTAGAGACTCCTCAAAGTGCCTATCAATATTTATTTAACAGACGTATTCGTCAATGTCTTCAGAATTCGTTGCTCTTTTATATTCCTTGCTCATTTTTATTGATTCCCAGTAGAAAATTCAAGTGCTATGGCAATTCTTATATTTGACTTTCCAATATATTACAATCAGTACCGTGTACTCTTTCTGTAGATGTTCCAATTTTGATTCATTTTCAACATACATACATTTATTTCATTGGGTAATTACTGATTGACGTTTAATTCAGTTTGCTTATCTTATTCGGAACAATTTTTATGTTATCTCAAGGAATTGGCCAATTAAATATCTGAGAGACGTATTTTTACATTTTTAAATACTAATACTGATAATACTAACTTTTAAACTTTCGCGTTCCATGATAATTAATATTATTTTAACGGGAATTAACGCGATCTCTTATTTAGGGTATTACATACCTCTGGTTTGCCTGACGTTTCGACCAGGTTGCACCGGCCGTGGTCACAGGCTGACTGCCAGCCTGTGACCACGGCCGGTCCCGTTAAAATAATATTAATTAATACTGATAATATTCTTTAGTTCTAGCTCTGTAACTAGCACATGCATTGTAATGCCTCATAAAGTATGAAGAAATAACTAAGCATATATATATATATACATAAAGTATCCATACA